CAATACACAGGGTCTGATGTAACTATTTCCCATGGCTGCTGAACTGGGGCGGCTTTCTATGCCGGCGGGCCATCCAGCTTGGATATCTGATAAGGTGGAGATGACAGCAGGTATGTTACTGATGTTATCGTGACCAAAATGACGGCATTATTACTGTCATGCTCTTATTGGGCCTTTGCGCTTTCACTCTCTCCCTCCGTCTTTGTTTGCAGTATACGTTGAAAAGACCTTTGTAACAACAGACACTTGAACTCGTCAGAGCTGCAAAAGCGCAGGTGTAAATCGTTTTTATTTTATTTCACCTTTATTTTACCAGGAAGTCCCACTGAGATCAAAAAACCCTTTCACATGAGAGTCCTGGCCAAGGTAGCAGCCGTACAAAATCACAGCATATTATAAAATACAACATATACAACATAATATACAGAAAGATCCAAAATAAAACACAAACTATTCAAACACAATGGCTTCTCAAGAAAAACAACCACATGCCTCGGTCTAGCGTCAACTTTATGCCTGTTTTCAGGAGGTTTGTTGAAAAGTATTCTGGGAAATGTAGGAAACAACTGACTGAAGTAGATGTTGGGGGAAAGCGGCTACAAAGAAGAAAGTATCTCTCTATTTCTCAGTTTCTCTGAACTTTCCATCTCTGGCTTTTCCCTTTTTGTTCATTGTTCATTTTTTTCCTGATGTGTCCAATACTTCAAAATATTACCCCTGTCTCCTCTGTCTCTTTCTCTGCTGATTCATATCTCTGTGTCTCATTTTCTGTCTCGATGCTCCATCTTCTGCCTCTCTCTGTCTCTGAGCATCTTTCGTCTCCAATCCCATGGTCCCTTTTTCTCATCTTTTTCTTCCACAAAGGGAGGGAGTTGTTATATAAACCTGTTGTTTCCTTCGTCATCCTCTGACTACAGCACAGAACACACTCTGACGCACCAATACAGTTACACAAATGCATGCGCATACACTCACACACAAGCTATGCGGCTTTGGGCGCATTGTTGCATTGAGTTTTAATCACTTGTCTTGACTCACTTCTTTTTTTAACCTTATATACACATATACACATACATATAACACATGATGCTTTCAACTCTGCACCTTCTGGTTAAGCACACACACACACACACTCGCATAAACGGCCAGCCATTAGCACAACAATGGCGCTTTGAAGCTATAACCTTCACACACACACATAAACACATTTTGTGTACCTACTCCCACACGCTCCACACTCTTTGTGGCCTATACCAGCCAACCGCCAATCTGTGGAGGGATACTGTAAGTCCCGCCCCACATACATCCTTACCCTTAACCCTAACCACATTTACAAGCACGATTACCTCTCCTATGTAAGTTTGGTCTCTAATGAGTTGCTCTTTTCCTTTCTCCCTCTGTCTCTATTTCTCCGCGCCCCTCACCCTCTCCCTCTCATTTTAGGTTGTTAATACAGCTCAAACATCATTGATCTGAAACCACAAAGTGTTCATTCTTCTGCTTTCACACTGCATTTGCATCTCTGCACGTCTCTTTCTCGCTCTCTCTCTCTTTCTTTGGCTGTGTGCACCAGTGTGTGTAAGCGTGTGTTTGCATGAATGTGTTTACGGTGCATAACTGTAGGCATGTTTGGAGGTGAGTAATTATGTCTGCATGTGTGTTGCGTTGCTGTTTGACAGCTCCATAGGGGTGGATTGAGTGTGCTCCAGCTAACTGTGACCTGGGTAATCATGTTAAAGGCTGCATTGTAACTGACTCTTTACAGTGTGTTTGTGTGTGTTTCTGTGGGAAAGCAGGAAGTGTATATATGATTTATATCTCTGCTGATTTGAATTTTTATCTGACCTCAAATTTGAATACTGGATAAGATTGCATAATGTCCAGTTAAGCAAAGGTCACAAATATCTGAATGAATATAATCAATACGCCAACCCCTTCTGTTCCATCTACACATTACATTGGTTAGGCAGCTGTGATTCCTTACAACACCCCAGTTTAGAGTAATTGGCAAAGGGTGATGACTTCATTGCTAATGAGGTCAAATAAACTGCCAGAAATCTTGTTTACCCCCTTTGAGCAGCACAAACAGGTCAGCTCTGGCTCTGTGCACACGACCAAAAACTCTGTTTCTTGTCAAACAAGATACTGCATGAGGGCTGGTCTCACACACAAACACGCACATGCACACACACATGTACATACTGCACACAGCCAAGAGGTGTGTTGCAAAGGTGAACGGCTTAACATTAGGCACAGAGTATTTTGATACTGCCTGATGAATTGTTCATCATTTTTTTTAACCAAACTTAATGAACCTCTTAAGCAAAATGGGGTTTAAAGAACAATAAATATCATACTGGAGTACAAGAGTACACAAAACGACTGCTGAAAATTATAGTTAAGCACATTTGGCTAGTTGTTTAAGTCATGAGTCATCATAAGACCTTTGCTTACATAACAGTTTCTTTATGAGGGCAGAATCTGTTTCAGATATTGACTGATGATTCTCAGGTGGGTAATTTCTTTTCCAAACTGGAAACAGTGTATAGTGTTAGCTTGTAAAACATATTCAGATTTTAGCAAGGACTGTACTGGTCCTTTAGGAACTTTGGGAACCGTTGTTATACATTTAGTTAGCACCAGTGGGGTAACAAAGGAAAGTATTATAATAGTGTACAATGTTTGGTGAATTCAGACCCTTATTTTTTCCTACCGTCTTCCTCTTATTAATTTTTTTTTTTTTCCAAAACCGGAAATGTGTTAGGTATTATTCACAAAAA